GGCGAGGACATTAAAAGACGGCTGCACTGGCCACAAGAGTTTTCGAAACACACAAGAGGAGGAGTGGTTAAGTCTGGAACGATGTTAGAGGACAGCCAACGCATACCTGAGAACGGGCTTTTATATCAAGACCTGTCTGATCCAGCTATATCTGATTTTAAAAAGCATACTGTCTCTTACTTGTAATGAATATCAGTAGTGCTGCTATAGGCGACCCGAGACAACGACATCGCAAACCAGTGTAATCCATGGTTCACAGTGGACTGTTGGACTCTCCAAAATCTCTCTTCAGTTGGCGCAGAATTCCCAAATACTCAAGACTGATGGATCCGCCTGAGCTTCGACAACCAACCCGTCATAACCTACTCAAATGCAGGCAGACCCGATTTAACAACATCACTGAGCTTTTAGGGGTTACCAACATGACAGTAGAGCAAATCGGGGAGCGGATTCAACGCGATACTGTGACGATCGGGCTACGTTTGGAACGGAACAAAGCGGGAACATCCACGGCAGAGACTGCTCACTGCATCATTAGCAGGCGTTCTTAACGAGCAATAAAGCCTTACGTTCCAGACATGGTACACTACCTGAAGTTATAAGGTTCTCCAGAAACACCGGTCGTTATATGATTCGATCTTTCGTAATTCTGCAATGGGCAGAAGTATTTAGACAGCAGGGCAGTCTTGACCGTGGTCCCAAATGCTTAGGTCGTCTTTTTGTAAATGCCGACATAAGACAATGGGCGCTTACAAGAAAGGCAAGTTATCTGCGAGACCGCCACATTTTTCTCCGTTTAAATTGGCTCGTTTTTAGCAAAAAAGTGAAAATGTGGACAAAACAGTCAATCACCGGGTCACCCGGTGTATCGGGTGAAGTAAGGCCTTTCTCTTGGTTTGAATCCGTCATGAGGTGCTTTTACTTTAACAACCCTCAAGTTGGTATGAATCCTCTGGAAAAGGAAACAACGAAGCTAGGGGTGGAAGTCCCCAAACGGCAATAGCATCGGTGTTACCAAACTGAAGGCTTAAAGGCTCGGAAACCCACCAGGGTCCTACCGACGGTTAGCCGACAGAGACCCCTTTATAGGCTGTTAGATGGTCTTCATCGGCATCCAGCGATATCCACCAACCACCGTAGTTATGGAAAAAAACTTACTCATCTTTTCATTGTACTTACTTGTACTTGTACTTGATACGGCTGCGATCATGCCTGATCTAGCCGGCCTCGATGATGTCCCGAAGTGTACTTCTCCACGCGTGACGACCCGCGGCAGCAGATCTGGACAGTTCAACCCATTGTCTTCGCCAACGACGTAGACCGAATACCGAAGGTCCAAGAACCACCCCTATGTCTTGACGAACTGCGTCGAGCGAGGTTTTGAGCTGACCTCTTCTTCGATGCCCCCAACGGGGCAACGGTGGGTGATCGAGGGCAGTAACACTGAGCTCTTGAGGTGGACGACGAAGAACATGCCCAAATCACCTCCGTCGTCTTTCTTGGATGGCCTGAGTTATCCTTGCGATGTTGTCGCAGCGAGCGCAGACTATCTCAGTTGAGACGAAGTCGGTGAACTTCACTCGAAGGGTGGTCCTCAAGCAGTGGTGATCAAATACCTCCAGTTTTTGCTCGTCCTCCACGCGCAAAGCCCAACATTCACAACCATGTAGATGGACAGACCGGATAGATGCACAGTACACGCGAATCTTAGTGGCGATGGTGAGGTCCCGTCGGATCCATAGGCATTTTCGAAGGCTTGAGAAAACCCAGAGGGCCGCATCAATTCGGGAGACAATGTTGTCCTTACTCTGTTCATTAGGCCGCAGCCTCGCTCCGAGGTATTTAAAACTGTCTACTTGTTCAAGTTGACAGCCATAAATCCCGAGAGGTGTCCTCTCCTGGTCAGGGATGTAGCTTGAAAACACTCTAGCCTTCCCAGTGATTATGGATAAACCGACAGATTTAGCGGCCTCGTTCACCCGTTACACCATAGACTGCAAATAGTCCGGGTGCAAATTCAACACTGGCACCTTCGTTTAGGGCCCTCCCGAGAATCCAGTCAATAGCATAGTTGAACAGAATAGGCGACAGGATACAACCCTGTCGGACGCCAGATCAAATACCAAACGGTTGGGTAAGATTGTTGCGGACCAGGACTCTCACAGTAGTGGAGCGATAATAGGCCTTGATCGTGGCGATGATTTTTGCCGGTACATCATCTAGCGCCATTATCCGCCACAGGGACTCACGGTGAACGGAATCGAACGCGGCGGCAAAGTCAATGAAGCAGACGGCCGTCAGTTGTTGGTAGCTGTGGCAAAATTCGAGAATATGCCTCAGTGTGAAGATCTGGTCTGCGCATCCACGCCCAGCACGAAATCCGGCTTGGTTGGGGCTCGTCCTTGAGTCACCCACAGCCTGGAATCGACTGAGTAGGATAATGGCGAAGATCTTCGCAGCAACGTCGATGAGGCTTATGCCGCGGTAGTTCTTGCATCTTGTCTTATCGGCCTTTTTGAAGATATGTACAAGTATGCCTAAGCCCCAGTCATCAGGAACAACCTCGTCTCTCCACGCTCGTTCAATCACCTCATGGAGCCAGGGGGACAGTGTCGACACAAGACTTGTAGATTTCAGCGGATATACCGTCCTCTCCGGGTGCCTTATTGTTGCGTAGCTTTCGTATGACATCGGCGACTTCTCCTTCAGAGGGGGGTCGCATGTCACTGGATAGGTGGGAGAGGGAAGAAACTCAGCTGAGGAGAGCAAGGGCGAGATGAGTTGCGTATCGATGGTGCTCGAAGTGCTCACGCCAGCGCTCGACTTTGGCCGAGTTGTCAGCAATAAAGCCGCCGATCATGTCGCCAATAGTCACTCAGTGTAAAGGGCTTACCGCTAACTTGGCGGATAAGTTGGTAGTTTTCGAGTGTCACCAACGTTCGAGGCCTGTTCTATGGAGGCCGCTATTTCAGCCCAATATTGCTTCCGGTCATTCCTGGCCGATTTTGTCATCTTCCGAAGTTGGCGGAAGCAGTCATCGCTATGGAACCTGGCTCGAGCCGTCTGAGCAGACAACTGTAGGGTTCTTCCGCTGATCCAGTCACTGCGGCGTCGCTCAGTATATCCAAGGATTTTTTCAGCTGCTCTATAAACTGACGTTTTCAGTGACGACCACTGGTTACTGCCTTCTCTGTCGGCTCGGGTCGTAAAACAGGTCCGGATTTCTCTGCTCAGGGCCTCAGCAGTGCTGGTTTGTCGGATTTTTGCGACATCGAGGCGTCTAGGACGTGGCACTTTTGGAGCGGATAAGAGTTGAACTTTCAAGCGTGTACGAACGAGGATATGGTCAGACCTACGGGCGTTACCAGACTCGGCACCACGCATCGATCTGCTATCGTGAACCCAGCTGCGGAACGTTGAGCTGACTAGTATGTAATCAATCTGACTGGCCGTATGGACGTCGTTTGAATAAAAGGTCAGCATGTTTTTTTTGCAATGCTGGAAACATGTGTTGGTGACAAGCAGTCAGTTCCGATCAGCGAAGGTCAGCAATTTCTCACCATTTTCACATAGGGAACCAAGCCCAAAGCGGCCAAGAAGGTGACTGGTTGTGGGGTCGGTAGGTCCCGTTTGACCATTCTAATCGTCAGCAACAATCAGCAGATCGCGGCGAGGCAGTCTTTCAACTAACGCTTACAACTGCGAGTAAAGCGCCTCTCTATCCCGCTGTTCGGCAGCCGAAGTCGGTGCGTACACAGAGACGATGGAGATGTTTGTGAAGTGACCCTCCAGTCGCACGTAGGCCACCTGGTCATAGACTGGTTCCTAGGCAAGTAGCGCGAGGTCCGCTTGTTGCGATAGGGCGATCGTCACACCGTGCTGACCAGAAGAGTAGCGCGGGCCGCTGTGGTACAAGGTAAAGTGTGATCCGACTCCAGGGATCTTTACTTTGCAGGAGTCTAGTTAGAAAATCGAACTTCAGACAGACAGCAGACATCCACGTTGTACTGATCAAGGCTGCGCGCGGTCATGCTTTGGATATGTGGGCCCAGGAACGTTCGCACATTCCAGCATCCAATACCAAGAGTCCGTCGCCGATCGAGTAGTCCAGCCCGCATACTATTCGCCCGCACCGCCGGACCAGGGTTTCAGAGCGCGTTGATGCCCGCGGACGCCGTAGC